ACTGTAAAACAGCCTCAGGCAATTCCTTCAGGAGGTATTCCAGAAGAAGAGTTGTTATAGGAGATGACAGCTCCATTTGTGTAAGTGCCTCTGAAGACCTTCCAGTGAGACAAGATGTGGAGGTGGAAGACAGTAATATTGATGATAGTGACCCTGTATAGACCTAGGTTATTGTGTTTATGTCTTAGTTTTTAACAAAAACATTTAAAAATTAAAAAAAAAATTAAATAGAAAATGGCTTCTAGAATAAAGATATAAAGAAAATATTTTTGTACAGCTGTATAATGTGTCTTACACTAAGTGTTATTACAAAAGTCAAAAAATCAAAAGCTTATAAAGTTACAGTTAGCTAAGGTTAACTTATTGAATAAAACTTTTTAATATATTTACTATAGCCTAAATGTACAGTGTTTATAAAGCCTACAGAAGTGTACAGTAGTATCTTAGGCCTTCACATTCACTCATTGAATCACCCAGAGTAACTTCGAGTCCTGCAAGCTCCATTCATGGTAAGTATCCTATACAGGTATATTCATTTTTGAATCTTTTATACTGTATTTTCACTGTACTTTTTCTGTGTTTAGATATACAATTCAAATTACTGCTGTGCTACAATTATCTACAGGATTCAGTGCAGTAACATGCTGTATAGGTTTGTAGCCTTGGAGCAGTAAGCTATACTGTATACTCTAGGTATGTAGTAGGTTATGCCATCTAGGTTTGTATAAGTACACTCTGTAATGTTTCCACAACAGTGAAACAACCCATTTCTCAGAACTGTCTTTGTCATTAAGTGATGCATGACCGTAAATGGTTGGAATTCTTGAGATTGTCAAAAGGATCCTTTGTTATTAGTTCATTGTTGGTATTGTCTTCAGTTGGTCATGATTTTGGCTTGAGGTTTACTTTTTGGCTGCTGACTATTTTTTGTTATTAATATTTGGGCACTGTTTTACTTATTTTTGATACATTTAATTTTGCTTTAGGCCAGAATATTCTGTAATGTGGTTTCGCTTAGTCATTTTGTCTTGAACTCTGTTTAGATAATCTTCAACAGAGTTGTATGGTAGACAATTCAAATTTAAGGTTTCATTCAGTAGGAAACAACATATAGAATTTGGATATCTCTAATGACTCTATTTTCTCTATATGAGCTAAACAAAGTGATTTGGTTCAATTTTCCTCTTGCTTTTTAAAGTATAAATTATAGGGTTTTAGGAAGATTATGTAGAATCATGTATGTAGGTACCTAAAATAGTGTGTTATGTGTAGTGAGAAATCCAACAAAAGAGAAATTTAGTAAAGAAGAAATTAAATTTAAAAGGCGGTAGGGGAGTTCCTGTATTATGAATGCTGTCTGCTCACTAAATATAAAATTTCTATGTTCCAGTGGCCCAATCATTTGCAATCATTTCCTCCTGTCTTAACACTCTTGGCCAGGCATGCTGGCTCACACCTGCAGTCCCAGCACTCTGTGAAGCCGAGGTGGGAGGATTGCTTGAGCTCAGTAGTTTGAGACCAGCCTGGGCAACATAGGGAGACCCTGTCTCTACAAAACATAAGTTGTGTGCTGGGTGCCATGGCACATAACTGTGATTCCAGCTACTTGGAATGTTGAAGTGGGAGGATTGCTTGGTCTCCAGAGTTTGAGGCTGCAGTGAGCCACGGTCATACCACTGTTCTCCAGGCTACCTGGGTGACAGAGCAAGACTCTGTTTCAAAAAAAAAAAAAAGACCAGGTAGAGTGGCTCACATGTGAAACTGAAGTCCTAGCACTTGGGGAGGCCGAGGTGAAAGGATCACTTTAGCCCAGGAGTTCAAGATAAGCTTGGGCAATGTGGCAAAACCCTGTCTCTCCAAAAAATACAAAATTAGCTGGGTGTGGTGGCACATGCTCCTATACTCTAGCCTGGGCAAGAGTGAGGCCCTGTCTCAAAAAAAAAAATACTGTTTCTTTTTTTTTTTTATTTAAGTATGCTGATGAATCCTCTCAATTTTTCTGTTTGAAAATGGCTTAGGCCGGGCATGGTGGCTCACGCCTATAATCTCAGCACTTTGGGAGGCTGAGGTGGGCAGATCATGAGGTCAGGAAATCAAGACCATCCTGGTCACCATGGTGAAACACCATCTCTACTAAAATACAAAAAATTAGCCAGGTATGGTGGCACATGCCTGCAGTCCCAGCTACTCGGGAGGCTGAGGTAGGGGAATCGCTTGAACCCCAGAGGTGGAGGTTGCAGTGACCCAAGATCACACCACTGCACTGGCCTGGCGACGGAGCAAGACTCCATTTCAAAAAAATAAAAAAAGAAAATGGACTTTATTTTTCTTTTCTTCTTAAGGTAGATTTTGACCAATTATATAATTTCGGATTAGCCATAATATTCTCTTGGGACATTGAAGATACTCTTTCAGCCTAATTATTGCTGTTCAAAGTATTTGTGTTAATTTTTCTGTTTTAAGATTTTTCTGTGTCTTGTTTTATGGTTTTTTTTTTTTTAATTTTTACTATGCTTTTTATTTATCCTGATGGGGGTATATAGAGATTCTTAAATCTGTGCCTTGGTATATTTTGTCATCTTTGGGAAATTCTTGGTCAGTCTCTCTTCAGATACTGTTGTCACTCTAATACCTCCCCCTTTTAGTTCCTTCTAGTTCCTTGTCTTGTACTCTTTTTGCTGTATGTTCTTCCTTTTTTGTTCTCACAGCTTAATTCTGGATATTTTCTTTGTGCCTATGTTATTGTTTGGTTTTTATCTTTAGTTTTGTCTGATTTTCTGTAAAGCTTCCGTTGGGTTTTTAATTTTGACTCATATTTTTAAATTCTAGGATTTCCATTAAAAAGAGTTTTCAGGGCTGGGCACGGTGGCTCACGCCTGTAATCCCAGCACTTTGGGAGGCAGAGGTGGGTGAATCACGAGGTCAAGAGATCGAGACCATCCTGGCCAACATAGTGAAACCCCATCTCTACTAAAAATACAAAAAATTAGCTGGGCATGGTGGCATGCGCTTGTGATACCAGTTACTCGGGAGGCTGAAGTGGAAGAATCGCCTGAACCCAGGAGGCGGAAGTTGCAGTGAGCCAAGATCACGCCACTGCACTTTAGCCTGGCGACAGAGCAAGACTCTGTCTCAAAAAAAAAAAAAAAAAAAAAGCGTTTTCAGTTCTTTGAATTTATGATAATTATTTTAAATAATTTGGATCTATTATGTGTTTGTTTCTATTGTTACCCTATTTTTCATTTTCACATGTACTAACTTTTCTCCTAACTGGGATGATACAAACCTAAAATTTAGTTCCTATCAGGTTAATGTAATTCTCGTTCACTATTACATTTAGGATATAGCCTTTTCAGGTCCCAGTTCAAATTACATACTCGTTTTGTTTCTTAGCCTCCCATGGCCAACAGAAGCTCTGCTTAGCTTCTCACCCTCTCAGCAGAGGCCCTAGAGAAACTGGTTGCAAGTGCTTAGCTTTCTTCTGGATGTGGACTCCATTATTTCCCACTGCCTTTTTTTTTTTTTTTCTTGGTGACAGGGTCTTGCTGCGTTTCCCAGGCTTGTCTTGAACTCCTGGGCTCAAGTGATCCTCTAGTCTCAGCCTCCCAAATGGCTGGGATTATAGGTGTGAGCCACCATGCCCAGCTTAGTTGGCTTTTTGTTATTCACACATTTTTAAAAATATAGGTTACATGTTCCTTATCCAAAATGCTGGGACCAATAGTGTTTCAGATTTTGGATTTTTTTTTTTTTTTGATTTTGGAATATTTGTATTTATATAATGAGATCTCTTGGGAGTGGGACCCAAGGCTAAACATGAAATGTATGCTTCACATGCACTTTATACACATAGGCTAAAAGTAATTTTATGTAATATTTTAAATAATTTTGTGCTAAGTACTTATGTGTGAAATTTCCCACTTGTGTCACATATATATACACACACATATATATGAGAGTATGTGAGTGTGGGTGTGTATTGTCTAGTTGTCTTCAGCAGAAGAATTTGTCTGAACCCCTTAATCTGCTATCCTGGAAGTAGAAGTCTTGGCTTGCGTTCATAGTTAATGTGTCACTTTGAGGATAAGTAGTTTTGGAGGAAATGTATAGTAGTGGTTCTGCCTAGCTGAGATGGGTACTGTAGAGAGTTCCATATAATTACACCTTGACTACTCATTACCCACTGTGAGTTTTTCTTTCTCTTTTTTTTTTTTTTTTTTTCAGTAGTTTTATTCAGTCCAGTTGTCTGCTTCTATAGATTTAACCCCCAAGCTATCCTTTCCTCTTCATTGTCATTGTTCAGGCCAGTATCAGCTTTTTCTGGACTACTTTAATGGCCCCCTAACTGGCCTTCCACACTCTAGGCTGACCCTTTATGATCTGTAATAGCTCCCTACTGACTACATCAGTTACCTGCTCATAATGAATTGGTGACTTCCATTGTATGTTAGACAAAGCCCATTTCCTTTGTAATCTGGGACCCTAGTTGGATACCAGTTCATTCCCACCTTTCTTTCCCCCCATACAAAGCTAATGTTCCAACCATACCTAAACATTTGTATTTCTCTGAGCCTCTTGGCTGTTTTTTCATCATTATTTTTTAGGGAAATAATTTCGTCTACTTAGGATACCACTCATTGTGTATCTGGCAAACTCCTACTCATTCCTCTGAATCCTGTTCAGATGTCACATTATTTGTAAATACTTAATTTATTCCACTTGTGTGAGAGCACATTTTACATTGTATTCTTCATTTATACAAATGTCTATTCTGCTGTATTCTGAGCTGCTTATAGAAAAGGTTGGTGTTCTTTCTGAAGTTTGACTCACACGTGCACTTTGAACCATTGGTTGAGTCTATCATAACCCATCTGAATCATCAGAAATTTGCTTTTGTCTTGGAAGCCAGAATTAGGTATAAATGAGATAAAATGAAGTCTATAGCATATTTCGCTTTGCCATAATAACAACCCATTTTTGCTCTTTATTTTAATTTTCAGCAGGTTTGTCAAAGATGAAAGTGACCTTATCAGCTTTGGATACTTCTGAGAGTTCTTTCATGCCTTTGGTGGTCATAGAATTTGCTCAGGATGTCAAAGAAGAAACCAAAGAATGGCTGAAAAACAGAATTATAGCTCCAAAAAAAGATGGAGGTGAGTAAAATAGTCACTACTCAGTAGACTTAGTCTGGCCTCCCACACTGTATGCTCAGTCACTAAAAACATATTTGCAAATGTGTTTTATAATTTTCATTGATTTATTTACTAATGTTTTTTTATTTATTTTTGCCTTTATTAGCTATCCAGCACTTGAAAGGAGGTCTTAAATCAACATTAGGCTTTAAGTTTCCATTAAACTGAAAGCAGCATGAGTGGTTTTCTTCACAGCTCTAAATACTATACCTACCACCGTGTTTGGTGCATAGTAGGTGCTTAAGAAATATTTGTCAAATGAACGGACAGGTATCTATTGTATGCTCTTTATGTTTCAGTTATGGTGCTATGGGAGAGAGAAATATGGTCTCTGCCTGCAAAGATGTTATCATCAGGGTAGAAAAAAATTCAAATTAAAGAAAAGTACGTGGAAGAGCTTCCATAGAGCAATGCATGGCATGAACAAATGAATCATGCGTATACCTACTGTAAAAGAGCTCCATGATCCTTGTCTTTCATGTCAGTGGATCAAGGAGAGAGATAGTTGTCAGAGAACTTGGGGTATTGGATTATTGATAGGTACATAATAAACTAAGCAAATGATAACACAAGACCGCAACTTTTGGGAAAATGGAAAGTATGAGAAAGGAAAATCATAGCATACTGTAAGGCTAAGCTCTAAATAACATGTAGTCATAATCACACACTGACTTGATGAAACTAAAGGATGATTTAACCATGTGAGAATAGGCGATGAGAATGGTGAATGGAAATGGTGAAGAAGGAAAGTGATCTAAATTCTCATCTTCAATGCTTAAAACTGAAAAATCAAGAAATAGCTCTGTAAGCATGTTATTTGATGGCATGAAAACAAATAACAAAGGAATCACCCAAACAATTTGAAAGTCATTGCTTCTGGGAAAGGTCAGTGGAGGGGAGGAAGACCTTACGTTAAAGGCCATCCTTGATCAGCTTATATAAGCCCTCAGAACTTCCATTTAGCCTCATAGAGCTTCTTTCCTAAACATGAACATGTAATGAAAGATCACCAAATATCTGAAAAAAAATGCTCTTTTTCAAATCAAGGTGTTGGCAAATGGTTCTTCATAAAGGTTATACTAGACCAGGCACAGTTGCTCACATCTGTGATCCCAGGACTTTGGGAGGCTGAGGCGGGCAGATCACTTGAGGTCAGGAGTTCAAGACCAGCCTGGCCAACATGGTGAAACCCATCTCTACTAAAAATATAAAAATTAGCTGGGCGTAGCTGCATGTACCTGTAATCCCAGTTATTTGGGGGACTGAAGCAGGAGAATCACTTGAACCTGGGAGGCGGAGATTGTAGTGAGCCAGTATAGTGCCATTGCACTCCAGTCTGGGCAATAGAGCAAGACTGTGTCTCAACATAAATAAATAAATTAACTAATTAAAAAAAAAAAAGGTTATACCCGTTTCTGCTCCTCTAAAAATGGCTTGTATGCCTCAGACCACAGCCCAGTTCTGAGAAACAGCCAGGCTTAAAGTTGCCTTTAAAGGAAACTTATGTTGCACAGGAATGGCCTTGTTTCAGTGTCCCCTCTGTGCTCAGCTGATGGCTGGAAGCCGCTGGGAGAAGCATCTTAAGGTATGGCAACAGGAGCCTGGCAGTCAACCCTGCTCTTCAAAGCAGCTTCTCTTGAGGGGAGACCTGGTGGAGTTGAGTATTTCATGGCTACCACACTCACCAACCTATTATCAAACTTTCCATCTTTGCAGTGTGAGAAGTAAGAAACAGCATATTGGTATAGTTTTTACATTTATCTTAATATGAGTGAGGTTAAGGATCTTATATTTAAGAGCCATTTTTGTTTTCTGTAAATTGATTATACCTTTTACTAAAGTCTTTAATAGCTTTACTGTAAATTACCTACATAATAGTGTCATAATACATTAATCTTAATATATTAATTTATTTGATAAGTGAAGTATAAATTCTTCTCATGATCCTATTATCATTTGATTAATATTTTCATAATTCCTGTCAACCATCTCTAGGGGGTAAATAGTAAAGAAATAAATGTACCTTTAAAAGTTTGAGGCCAGGAACTGTGGCTCATGCCTGTAATCCCAGCACTCGGGAGTCCAAAGTGGGTGGATCTCTTGAGCTCAGGAGTTTAAGACCAGCCTGGGCAACATGGTAAAACCCTGTCTCTACAAAAAAATACAAAAAATACCTTAGCGTGGTGGTACACACCTGTAGTTTCAGCTACTTGAGAGGCAAAGATGGGAGGATCACCTGAACCTAGCAGGTGGAGGTTGCAGTGAGCCAAGATTGTGCCACTGCATTCCAACCTGGGCAATAGAGTGAGACCCTGTCTCAAAAAAAAAATTGATGTAGGTAGAAAGAATCTTTTTTTAATAATCTATTAAGTAATTACTATATGTATATTATCAAATTATGACATATTTTCATGTTTTGGGAACTTATTTCAGAAAAATACCGTGAAACCAAATAGAACATAGAAATTTGTGGGAAAAATCGTTGAAAAGTTATATTGCTTTTTATTATTTAGTACTTAACATTCACAAAATGTGTTATAGTCCAATGTAATTGTAATTGTATTGTATTTTTTAACTGAAATATTTTGTTCCAAATTAATTTCCTTAAATTTTGTTCTATTATGTTTATATTAAGAAACTGCAATCTTTGTTCTATATTTTTGCTCGGTACACTTTTATACCTATAGCTCATAAATATTGAGTTCTCGTATCTACTTCTCATTTGAATGAGTGGCAGGTTTCTAAGTGCTACATTTTTCAGTTTTTGCATTTATTAAAAAACCATGAAGAACTGCCATCCCCAATGTGCTTATGTTATTTACTTGGAAGATGGGTTTAAATTGCTAATATAATTTCTGTTTCTTCTACCAAACCGGAAACATTATATTTATTTAGAAAGTTTTTATTTTTGAAACTTTTATGTTTGTTTCTAAAATTGTCCTTACCTTTTGTTTTTATAGGTGCTCAGTTGTTATTTAGACCATTGTTAAATAAATATGAGCAAGAAACACTGGAAAATAAGAACTTATATCTTGTTGGTGCCTCCAAGATTAGAATGTTATTGGGGGCAGAAGCGGTGGGATTGGTGAAAGAGTGCAATGATAACACCATGAGAGCCTTCACATACAGAACCAGACAGAACTTCAAAGGCTTTGATGGTAAGCCCTAAGTTGTCTCTGTTAGAATCCATTTATTAAAAAAAAGTTTTGATGAATAGATCAGGGCCTAGCAAACTTTTTTCAGTAAAGGGTCAAATAGTAAATATTTTAGTCTTTACAGTCCTGTGGTCTCTGCTGCAGTTACTTAACACTGCCATTGTAGAGCAAAAAAGCAGCCATAGACCATAAGTAAATGAATGGGCGAGGCTGTGTTCCAATAAAACTTAATTTATAAAACCATGTGGCAGGCCAGATTTGGCCCATCACCATCTTTTGCCCCCCTCTGGATGAACACAAATTAGAAGGACATGTGTAACTTAGAATTCTTATAATGTTGAGTATTCAGTAGCTTGATATAGAAAAATACTATTTTTGAAAGCAGAATGATTTTCACCAATTCTAACAGAATACACCAAAAAAACCCCATAAATTACATATTTTCTAACTCTACAAAAAAACAGTTATGTAAAGTAATAAGAAATTAACTATTAAAAAGTTGCATCTACTAAGTAGAGATTATTTTCTACAAATAACCACATGTGAGTATTTATTAGAAAAATCTTAATAAGAAACACAGTAGTAGTTAAGTACCCTACAAACCTCATTTCCTGAATTTTCTGGCTCCTGCTGAATGTGATAAGGTCATTGGTTCTATATTGACCCCAAAGCAGGTTCTAGTAGAGAATATTTTCTCTACTAGAGAACTGGGAAAGCCAGGGTAGATATAACAGGTTGGGAGCTTGGTTTCAGAATCAAACTGATCCCTTCCAGGGCTTTCAGAGTTAGAATATGGGATTAGACTTCTTTGGATTAACTTACTCTGGATTTTTGTACCTTAGTGAATAAATGTTCAAGATGAAATTTACCTTATTTAAGAGGATTCACCTGTCAAATAGCAACAATATTTTCTTACAAGACCTTCTTCTCTCTCATTAATGGAAGGGATGTTTGACTACAGAAGGGAATGGAATGGGCTTGCGAGTTTGAAGGAGGATAATTTGCCATAGGCAAACTTCTTCAGTTCCATCTTTGGTTTAATGTAATAATATGTTAATAAATTTAACGTATTATCAGGATTCAAGAACATACTGCTTTCTGCTCATTAGTACTAAATGAGATCAATTATATGCTTGTTGAATATTTCTGCTATAACTATTAAAATGGTTATTGTAGAATTGTATTACATGAAGGCATAACATAATTTTTTTTATTCTTATAAAATATCTAAAAAGCTTTATGTTCTATTTAATTTGCTAGCTTCATACTCTGATTACTTACGTTGTTTATTGTTTATACCACTATTTCCATAATCTCAGGTAATTGGAATATTTTTAGTTTGTTACTAAAAAAAATCTGGTAATTTCTGTTTTATTTTAGATACTAATGATGATTTCCTGACAATGGCAGAATGTCAATTCATTATCAAACATGAACTTGAAAATCTTAGAGCTAAAGATGAAAAAATGATCCCTGGCTACCCCCAGGCAAAGTTGTATCCAGGAAAATCATTATGTAAGTCACTATGTTAACCAATTTCATGAATACACACTCTAATACAACTGAGTTTTTTTCTTAATAGACATAAATAGCAAATTACAGATGCCCTTTTTTCCTCTTACAGAAGAACTTATATAACCTTACAATAACGTGTATTTTTATGAACATATCTTTTCCCCTTGGAACCTCATTATATTGCACCTTTAAATCAATATGTTTGTTTTATATGGTTGACTACTTATTTATCAAGATCTCATAGCATACAGTTAGCTTAAAATCCAGTGTGAACACATATATGTATTACTCAATTAAAACGAGCAAAGCTTACGTTATGCCCTAACATCGTACGTGAAAATCTGTGGAGGAATATAAAAGGGAAAACATGGTCTTTTCCTGGAGCACTCTTTCCATTTCCTCTGATCTCACTGGGTATGCAAATCAGAATTTTGCAACTTTTTGGTTTTGTGTGATTTCATTTTAATGAGAATAACTAGTTTGCAGAAAGCAAGAGTTTACTACAATGCATAATTCCAAGTTTGCTTCAAACCCAGATAGTGGCAAGGCTTCCAAACTTGTTTTTTTGTTGTTGTTGTTGAGACAGAGTCTTGCTGTTGCCCAGACCGGAATGCACTGGTGTGATCTTGGCTGACTGCAACCTCAAGCGATTTTCCTGCCTCAACCTCCCAAGTAGCTGGGAGTACAGGTGCATGCCTCCATGCCCAGCTAATTTTTGTATTTTCAGTAGAGATGAGGTTTCACCATGTTGGCCAGGCTGGTCTCAAACTCCTGACCTTGTGATTTGCCTGCCTCAGACTCCCAAAGTGCTGGGATTACTGAGCCACTGTACCGGTCTGGCTTCAGAACATTTTTTGCTGCCTAAGATACACTTTAAACATGTAAGCTTCTGTGTCTCCTAGTGTGTTTGGGTTTTTGTTGTTGTCATCATTGTTTGTTTGTTTGTTTGTTTGAGACAGAGTCTTGCTCTGTCACCCAGAATGGAGTACAGTGGTATGAACATAGCTCACTACAGCCTCCACTTCCTGGGCTCAAGTGATCTCCTGCATCAGCCTCCTGAGTAGCTGGAACCATGTGATTTACTTTTAATAGTCTGTGTGATACCACCTTCCAGTTGTCATCCAGGCAGACAGATCCCTAAGAACCAGTCCATATTCACATTTCCCAGTTGCCACCAAATATATTTTAGAGCTTGTTTGCCCAAACTAAGATTCAGTCTAAGTTAACTCATCTTGTTTGGTTATGTCTGTTTCTTTGAATATAGAATAGTTTCTCTTTTCTATTTTTTCCCTCATGACATCAACTTGCTCAAGAGACTATGCCATTTTTCTTAGAGACTGTTTTCTCATTGTTTCCCTATCCTCTGTTTTTCCTGAAAACTGGGAAAGTTTTGGCAAGAATTCCTCATAGGTGATGCTGTATCTTCTCTGCTCTTCCTGATTTCCTTAGACATGATGGGGAATAGAAGGCCTTCTGAGATTTTCTTTTATTTGCCTCTCTAACTTCCTAACTCTCTAACTTCCTTTCTAACCCTTCCTAACTTCCTCTTTTGTGTTCAGAACTGTGCCTTACTTTTGACAGAGCTTTTTCAAATTCTAATCTTTCTAGACCTTCTTGCATTTCAAAGTATTTTCTTAGGTTACATTATTATTTTTAATTTTATATAGCAAATCTATTTTTAAGTAAGATGTATTTATTCTAGCCTATTCTGAACCGTATTCAGAGTTCTGATGAAAACAGGGTTTATCATCTGTACTGTGGACATAAAAATGGTTGTTTTCAATTTATGTAACCTATGACAGAAAAATACTTCTCCCAAGCATCTTACAATTTTCACATTTATTTTTTATTAGTTTCTGTCCATTTAAAAAATAATACATATATATGACGAAAATTCAAATAGTACAAAAATTTAGACAATGAAAAGTTGTCTCCTCCCTGTCCCATGTTCCAAATCCCTTTGTTCTCTCCCTATTATACACCTTTAAAGAAATTCTGTTCAAGAGACGACATGTTCAGACAGATAGGGAGTATATTGTGCATACCATTTTGGACCTTGCCTTTTTATTTAACAATATATTTTGATCATTATTCTAGAATACCAAACTCATTCCTTTTCTAGGCCACATAGTATTCTATCATATAGATGTCATCATATTGATGAACATCTAATTGTTTTCCTTCAAGTTTTCATTAAAAATACGAAAACATTCCCAGAAGTGAAACTGTTAGATCAAAGGTATTTGCATCTTTTAGAGTAGATATTTATTGCCAAATTGCCCTCCGTAGTGATTGCTTCAATTAATTAATTAATTAATTTGAGACAGAGTCTTGCTCTGTTGTGCAGGCTGGAGTACAGTGGCACGATCTTGGCTCACTACAACCAGTGCCTCCCTGGTTCAAGCAATTCTACTGCCTTAGCCTCCCGAGTAGCTGAGACTACAAGCATGCACCATCACGCCTGGCTAATTTTTGTATATTTAGTAGAGATGGGGTTTCACCACATTGGCCATGATGGTCTTGAACTCCTGACCTCAGGTGATCCATCCGCCTTGGCCTCCCAAAGTGCTGGGATTACAGGCATGAGCCATTGCTCCCAGCCAATTGCTTCAATTTATAAATAGAATGCATATTATATTGAGCATTGGACATGATGTTGACTTTTGACTAGGTATTTTTTATCATGTTTAGAAAACATTCATTCCTCCTACTTAATAATTTTTTGTGTGGTAATACATTTCTTTTTTAATTTATATTTTATATATTAATTGCATCTGTGAAGACTAATTTTTTAATCCCTGACATTATCAATATGGTAACTGATGTTAATGGAATTTCTAATATTAACTCATTCATGTATTCCCATAGTGAACCCTACTTGCTTATGTTATTTTTCTGCTGACTTCCATTTATTATTTTATTATTTTTGCATCAGTATTTATATGTCATAAGTACTTAGATTTTTGTTGTATCCAACAATTTATTTATATTACATATACATTGTTAATTTTGTCATGTAGTTCTTGTGTCCCTTGTACTTTGTTTTCTTGATCCATCATAGCCTTAGATCTCTACAATTATGCGAATTTCATTATGTTCCTGCCAATTTCCTCTTCATATTTTCTTTTCCTTTGTGTTATGAGTTTTGTAGTTATGTTTTGCCTGCATAAAGATTTTTGATAGATTTTTATTGTCGATTGCACCTTTTATCCTTATGAAATATTATTCTTAATCTTGCTTAATGTTTTGTTGTTGCCGAATTCAGCCTTGTCTTATGGTTCTTGCCTTATTTCAGTTTGCATCTGTTAGAATGTTTTTGCCCACCTTTTACTTTCAGCCTCTCTTGGTATCACTTTAGGCGGATCCCTTATATCAGGATATAGTCAGATTTTGCTTCGCACCATGATCTGAGGATTTTTTTTTTTATAATCTAAGTAAATTTATACTAAGTAAAACATTTGCTAGTAAACTTAAAGAGATGACATATTTTAGGTTATCATATTTGATGTTATATTTTATGTTGAAATAGCTATTTTCTGTGCTTAAAAAATCTTTTATATTGGCTATGCCATCTTTTTTCCCATTTCAGTGGAAAAGGCTAGGAAATATATTTTTGAAAATCATGAATTTATCTTGATACAGTCAATTCAAATTTCACATTATAGGCTATTAATTTCTTTCATTTATATTTGTTTATTTTATATTGAAAATATTGATTCTTAATAACATTACCATAATTACTATTTTGCTTTATCTTACAGTTTTCATAAAATAGCTTGTAAGGCCATGCTAATTTTGATATTAACAATCCAAGTTGTGGATGAAGTTTAAGGTTTTCTTTTTTGTTCTCTTACTACATGTAGTCAAAATCTAAGATTTTCATTTTTGTTCTATTACTCTATGTAGTCAAATTTTGTTCTATTATTATATGTAGTTTTAAAGGTATGTTAGCATTTCTGTATGAAACCATCTGGCCCTGATGTTTGTTTGTGGATTAGGTTTTTGAACAGTTTTCTCTAAGTCATCTATGGAAATTGGTTTGTTTAGACTTTCTGTCACTACTGGGGTCAGTTTGGGTAAATTGTATTTTCTTAGAATCTAAGTTTCCATTTTATCACATAGGTGTTCAAATTTCTGTGAACTGATTTGTGCAAATTTCTCTCAGGACCTTTTAAACTCCTGTTTTAAGGGTATTTTTCCCTTTTGCTTTCTGTTTTTTTCTTGATTTAAAACTTTTTTTTTTTTTTTTTGAGACGGAGTTTCGCTCTTGTTACCCAGGCTGGAGTGCAATGGCGCGATATCGGCTCACCGCAACCTCTGCCTCCTGGGTTCAGGCAATTCTCCTGCCTCAGCCTCCCGAGTAGCCGGGACTACAGGCATGTGCCACCATGCCCAGCTGATTTTTTGTATTTTTAGTAGAGACGGGGTTTCACCATGTTGACCAGGATGGTCTCGATCTCTTGACCTCGTGATCCACCCGCCTCGGCCTCCCAAAGTGCTGGGATTACAGGCGTGAGCCACCGCGCCCGGCGATTTAAAACATTTTTCTCATTAACATAATATTGAGGATATTCCTGTATCAGCCATTAGCAGGAGATCTGTGGGATGTGGGATCTTGATTCAGTAGGACTTTTAATCACTTTTTAACTTCCTTTCCTTCCCCATAGGCTGCTACCCACAAAGTCGATTACTTTTGCAGACACTTCCCACTGCATTTCCCAGAAGCAGCACTTTTCAGTCAGCAGCCTCTTGTTCTGTGTACTTTCCAACCCTTCCCTTCAGCCCCTCCTGCTGTCAGAGCTCTGACCCGTCAGGTATCAGACTTATTCTTGGAAGTTCCCACTTGGCGTGAGGCCTTCTCCTGAAGGAGAGTGATGAGTCCTCATTGGTGTTATGTGGGTTCCTACACCAAATGGACTCCTCTGCCCTCCCTGTTTCTCTGTGCAGCCCTGCTGGGGCTTCCTGCACCATTCTAGACTGTGGCCCAGATCTCTTCTGGA